AGAGAGTGCGTCATTCATAGAATTGGTAATATGTTTTGCAAGACGTCCAGCATTCTACTTACTGAACAGCCTTAGAGTATGTCTGCAAATCTTATAGAGGAGGATTATGAACGTTGTCGAATCGCAACACTCGTCCGCGCTCGAAAATCGCGGCCACAGCCCTGAAAAGGACGCGGATCGTGTTGTCGCGAGGAGGGCTTTGGTATCTTTCGAAGCGCGCTTGCTGTTTTCAATAGTCTTAGAGATCTGGAAAGAAGTAGAGTGAGAAGTTGGATGAACGTTGAGTCGTGAAAAATTTTGTGAGCTGCACAAAAAGGACAACGTGAGGATTGGTTTTGGGTACGACCTCCTATTTGCATCAGTTAATACCTCGAACGGTATTAACTTAGGGTCCTTCTTGATTACTGTCCCTCTCCCTCTTGTTTGGGGCTCTCTCGGCCTTGCAGGGCCTTGCGCGTTATGCTATCGCTTCCTTTATTATGTGGCTTTGGGTCTTCTGAGCCATCTCTACCATCGCACGCTGTTCCTTCTTTCTGCTGGACGGGGCAGTCTGCTTCGCTCTGACATCATCTTTTTGTCTTTCGCGTTCCACCGCAGGCCAGCCAGCATCCTCAGTCGCGTGTGATCTGCCTTTTATGACTCTTGTCGGACACATTCCCTGCCATCTAGCATGCGGGGCACCGAACCTAGTACACGTGCTCATGAGCGTTGGTAGGGAATACCTTCGATTTCCAGAGGATCCCCAGTGTCTCTTGCAATTTCATCCAGGCAGCATTTGGGACCCCTTCTGCGGCGTGGCTCACACTGCTGTCGGTGAGCTAGATCACTCCGAGGGGCAAGCCTTCCCCTTCTGACTGCCTCCATGGTTCTACCAGTGAATCTGGTACCCGTTCTTCGAGCGGCTGAACTTGCGTCCCTTGTTGGGACAGCTTAGGCCGTTGTCCCTCTGCCCTTTCTGCCACCTTTGGCTCAAGTTCTTCTTCTATTGCTTCGGCGATGTCGTCAACGTAGACGATGGTCTTCAGTTCCATGGCCTTTAACATGTGTAGAAGAAGGAATGGGCGGGCGGAGCGACTTGGTGCACTGGGACGTCTACGGTCCTTCGTTCGGTCGTAGAGGGTGGTATGCGCCTTAGATCATCGGTACTGTCATTACCAGAGGAGGGACCAGGTTTGGCCCGTTCATTCCTGAGCGATTCCGAGTCTGTTTCGCCGGGTCGGTCGCACCTGCTATGGTCAGGTAATCGCCTTCAGGGATCGTTCTGATGGCATCGTCCAGGCTTAGATAGAACTCGTCCTTATCACTTTCGGGGCACCCGGCTTGCGGTGCGTACACGGAGAGTACTGACCAGTACCCCTCCTTCGTGTCCATCCTCACAGCCATGATCCGATCGCTGATCCTGTTCCCAGCGGAGACGTAGTCCTTGAGCGACTCCGCTACCGCTATGGCCACGCCGTTCCGCTTGGTGTCTTCTCCATTGTAGTAGAGCTTGACACCTTCCCCAATTTCCCTGGCCTTAGCACCTTTCCATCGCGTCTCCTGAAGGCATAGGACTTGGATATTCTTGCGCGTCATCAGGTCAGCAACCTCTCGGGACTTCCCGGTTAGCGATCCCACGTTAAGAGTCCCTATTCGAACTAGCTTCTTTGGCCGAGGCCGTTCACTCCTCGGTAGCCCTCGCATACTGACCACAGAACTCGGGCGGGGGTTCTGCGCGCCACTTCCGGGTGACGTCCTAGCTTTATTACTGATTCTTTGGCAACTTTTAGACATTGTTGGTGTGACTGGGGTATTCATCAGCCGGCCTGTCAACCTGGGCCTGACGCTGGTACTAGAACCATTTTTGCAATTTTTGCAAGGCATGGTTTAAAGCCTCGGCAGGGATCGAACTCGCAGCTTTCCGGAGGTGCAGACATGAGTCTAACCTCTTAACCACTCGGCTATCCCTGCCTACCACTTTAGCTGCATATCCGCGCGTATCAAGCGGAGAGACAGCTGACGCACTTCACTGAGAAAAAAAAACTTACTTTTTACCGACAAACCTAATGCTACACTGACTTTTTTGCCCAAGTCCCGGTGTCATGCGCGCTGTTGCGTGCGAAGCTAAACTGATATTTATATAATTTTCGCAGCGCCCTACTCGACAAGTACGAGCTCGTTCAAATTTCGGGTATGACAAGTTGCCCAGCAAATAAACAAAGCAGAGAGCATCACGTCGATGTGGTGATAGGATCGCACTGACGATGAAATTGTTATCAATACATCGATGTTGTTTGGCATTGGTGCGGCGTTTCCGTACGTCGTTCACATTTGATAGAGGCATGACCATAGGATTCATGAATTTTGAAAATGTCCGATTTACTGGGAGTGCTAGCCTTTCTTACCATGAAATCTGAACTGCGTGACTTGCTGCGCACTTCACCTTCACGTGCTAGTGGCCATCAGGCTAGCAAACGCTATCATGTCGTCTATCTAGTTCCAACCAGTCGTTTTCTTATTACTGCTTCAATGCAAGCACATAAAGATGTGATGCCTTTCACATAACCCATCCTACCATCTATTAGAATTTTCCGAAAGTTCTGTCGTTTTCTGACACTTCACATTTGAATGCTTCATTTTACTTCAAATGTAGAAGAAACGCTGTGCGGTATACTCGATGAGCGAGTTGACACGGCTTTCCTTCTTTAGCTTTAAATAGACCTGAAAGTAGCGGGAATAATTCAAGATTTTAACGATGCACTTGGCGTAATTTCGCAATAAATGTGCTCACAAGGGAAGGATACCAGGTCGAAGTGGCCATTTGTAACGAGTCACACACCACTAGATGTGTTTTTGGAAGCTGATCTCGAATCTGCTCTCCAAATCTGTGAAACAATTTTTTGAACGTAGTTATGAAGCAAGATAGTGCAGTGGTAGCGGCTCGGTCCGACGAACACAAGGTCGTGGATCGACTTCTTGGCGAGTTCTTACTTTTGCTTTTCTTGGGATCCATATTGCAGCGTTGCACCAGCGAATCGAACGTTGAAGCAGCGAATCGACAGATGCATCCTGCAGCGGTAATGCAGACGTTTGAATTCGATGGTGACGTTTGCCACCGCCAGATCCGAAAGGGTTAAATTTTCAACAGAAGTGATTTGGAAGCTTCAGCCGTCTCCTACTGTCATTGCGTTGAAAGAGCTTTTCTCAACCTTCAGGTTACGACTGTGTTCGGAAAAAAAAACGCGCTGTCGCAATATTTGGCACGGTATATTTCCTCTGAACATACCCGCAGTAGCGGCCACTTTTGTTATCACACCATCTTCGTTCGCATAAAAATATGAACACATATATCTATGTTGAGTTCGATCATGATTCAAGATACAGATGTTGCACATTCAAGCACGCATGTCTAGAATGTTTGAAACTACCTCTTTTGAGAAATGCACAGGGATAAGTGAGCTGGACATGCAGTGACATCTTCTCGAAGCCCCCCCCCCCTTAACATGTAGCTTCTTTCAGGGAGAATCTCGGTAGTAACCCCTGACTACGGGTGGTGTAGAAATGTGTACCAACAGTAACAAAGATTAACCAATTCCTCCACTACTCAGAACGTACCTGCTGAACGCACCTGCTAAAATGTCAAAGTGTAGTCGGAACCATGGCAAGTTTGTCATTTTTGGAGAGAGATAAAATCAGTCACTCTAATTAGTTGTCATCTCCTTTTTTCACCTCGACCACTGAGTGAAAGGATTCCTTTCACCAGTTCCCCTGAACCCCAGATAATCACAATGCATTTTAAGAGATGTGGCCTCATCTCTAATACCTCTAGTAGGAGGCACCAATATTGCTCGGGGCAGCGGTCGTGGCTAATTTGGTAGATAAATATCCACTGTAACTTAGTTGCACGCCCCTCCAATCGGAGTCGCTTTGTGTCAGCTTCCTCTCCTAAACGCACTTGAGTCAGACAAATAAGGTTTCGCAGTGCTCACCACACTTCATTTACCGACCCCCTACAGAGTCACGTTGCTACTGCTCGTGAGCGAATAAATATCCTGGTTGTTAATAAGCGAATCAACAGAAGTTGTAGTTTCAAAAGCGCTAGTAACTTTCGACACAGTGTATGCTGCCGAGAAGTTGCTCAACTTAAAATAACAACGACTTCCCGTCTAACCACTGACTTCGAAATTTGCAGGAATTTAATGGCTAGAGCTCTGTCTTTAAGCATTCTTCTCAAATTTTTTAGTAAAACCGCTGCTAATTTTCTTCCTTCACTTTTTTTCGATCATTGTTGTAAGATCTTCTGCTGTCCCCTATCTACGTTTGCCGTAGCGCCACTCCGTAACCTGTTGCAGTAGCACTGAAAAGCCGACCCTGTGCCCAAAAGTGTTTAGTTAGAGAGCAACGATTGGGCTCTGGTTTAGTTCAATGGCAGAACTCAGACAAAAGTCGTGTGAACGACCCACTTCGGTCTGTAGGATAGACCACTAGAGGAGAACCCAGATGAGGCATTTTGTGCACGGTAATCACACAACGACAGCGCTAGGGACCTTGCCAAGTAAGATGCTGTAGCTGCAAGGATTTTCCTTCTATCAAGATGCTGTCTGCCGCCTTCTCATCTGTTGCGCTCAACCACTCTCTCCTCTCCGCGCTCACTCTCTCATTGCCTTATCGTTAGCAAAGCCGATTACAGCGGTGAGTTAATTCCTTAACCTAAGCATTTTCGACGGATTCTTCACCTTTTTTCTTTACTGCTGGCTCATTTCGCACCAATATTCCTTTCTTTTCAAAAATACAACATCAGTTCGACCCTGGAGCATGTATTTAACTAGAAGACATTTACAAAAGGCTCCTTCTCTCATCTCTCTCTTTCATCGCTCAGTTTTCCACAGACTACCTTTTCTGCACATACAATGACGGTGTTGTGGTCGAGACGTAGGCGGGATCTCAGTGAGGGTTGTCTATTTAAGCCGAGTCGCGAAACGTTGACACTCTACATCCATCATCAGCAACAGGCCGCGCCAATGCATCTGTCCACAAACTTATTTATAGCCCTTGCACTCGTACTTCCGGGTGAGTGTTATCTCATTATTGACCAAGATTTGAGTAGTACACGCTGGACATGCGCTTTTCTCTTCATTGAGCGGGCGTAAGTGACTTAGCGTTTCAGAAACAGACCCGAACCACCTACTGATTTAGCACTCCTTCATACACCGTTTTGGACACAAGCTGCTGTGGAATGATAGGAGGTCCATCAGGTGCAGTGGAGAGAACTTATGGGAGTGTAGTACGGCCGATTTTTAACTAAAAACCTCTATTTTGAGAACCAAAAATCCTGTTTTTGTTCTACAAAGAATTCTTCAGTTTCTTTCTTTCGGCGAACTCATCATGCTACGTACATTTGTCAGTTTTTTCGAGCCTTACGAAGATATGAGGTTGCAGCTGACTTACGCTCTTGTGTGGCTGTAGACCTCTCCGCTCAACGTGTGCAACCGACGGTCTTTTAAGATGATAATTCAGCCGAAACATCGGTCATTGGATAAATGATCTATTTAACAATCTCGTAAGGCAAAAGAAAACTAACAGACTGTTTCTGGTGTCCTTAAGTAGTCATCTCAGCAGCAAGATAGTGACCAGCGGCCCAGATGTGAGAAACACAGGTGTTTTTATGTATTAGCTGATTTGTTAACATTAAGGAAGCTATTGTATTCTTATTCTTGGTAGGTGATAAGGACCAAGCGAAGCTCGCAAGGGCATCAGTTCAGTGTAAGCGGGGATACGACTTCATCTGCATCGTCCCCAATGCTTTTCATCACAATTCGAGAAAAAGGCGAAGACTGATAGCCTGTGAGCAACTCTCCTTGTGTAGTCGTCACGGTAACAGTTTTCATCGGCCTGCGTTTTGACGTTCATTCGTGATGATCTGAATTTTGCGCATGGTCCTATTTGAAGGAGCGAGTCGCTTTTCTATACACGTACGCTTCCACTGATTCACTTTGGGAAGTGTGTCGGCATTTGAGAGGGGTCCAAGGGGCTATCGTCATGTAGACGACCTTATCGTATAAGTCATTTCCACAACAGCTGCTGGGAGGCTCAAAAGGCCCACGAACTCACATACAACATTCAAATTTGTCGTCTGAAGCTTGAATGCTGATTGGCAGGAGTCTACTCCACCACTGAATGTGTCTGTTGGCCAGCTCAAAAGGTCCCGCTTGTATTCTATGTAATGGTAATAACGCAACCTAAACTGAAGTGCTTTTTAAGGGCAGGAAATACGGCCGAGAGGTTTCATTCACTTGAGTACTAATCTTTCATTTTCAATAGGTGCGTGTTTGATTTTCTATGATCAATGTGCGATGAGTGCTGAAAGTCGGATTGTGTTATATGGAGTGTAAGTGGAATCGACCTGGTAGAATTGAACTCAGCTATTTTGGCGAAAGTCAGTTACAAGCGACATAAGTGGCATTAGTTAATGCGAAGAAGCACTACAAATGATCGTACAAAAAGAAATGGTGACAGTAGAAACTCGACATAGATACTTTTTGAGGGGAATCGCCGGGTTGAGTACGAAGGGATATCCTCTGGTTCACTTGCTTGCAAAATCAAATTGGTGTTTGCAAGCATCTTATGCTAAAACTGAGCAGTGGTAACTTGCTACTGCAAATGCTTAACAGCAATTTTTTCTCGCGATTCCTTACAAAATATCGCTGAACTCTCTCTATAATACGCGGTCACAGCTTCGCTTTAGTGTTGTCCACCCCAGCCACTACAGAGCAACTGAAAGAATGGATAATGGCGAACCGAAAGAGTATTTATGGCGAAAATTCAATCACTGGTGATGGTGATCTGGCCGGCACTATTTTACGGTTAGTTTTTTTTTTGCTTAGAAGAAGAATTTTGTGAAGCTAATTGACACTATTCAACCATTACTGCTCTACTCTTCAAAAACTAAGCCGGATTTGATCACAAGCTGTCCATTACTATTGATTTGGCTAGAAAGTTAGTTGTAGGAGTATTTGTACCCGGTGAACACGAATATTCAGCTTCGAGTGAAAACGCCTAGCACTCGCAGCATAGGTGCCGGCACTACATGTACTAGGTACATTAGTCTTGCGCTGATGTCTGTGGCATAGGCTACTAGTTAGCTCGCGACGAACTAATGTTATATTCATCTTCTAGGGGTCAAATTATCCCTGATGAAGAGTTCCCAGCGAATACTGTGTTTTGCCTTCTGCTGCTGCTTTTGTGACGCGAGCGCAAGGGATTTTCGTGCTAAACCAAGCGATATTTCTGTCCTACAGCTCAAACTATCCCAGGAACCAACTTTCGGGCCGAATGCACAATGGTGGAAATTTCAATCAAAGTTCAAATCAGTTCAGTTTTTGAGAAGTGGGGCAGTAAAGTACAAACAGTACCAACTATTTCTATTGCTAATTTTTTCAAGTGCAAAGCTGACTGAAAAAAATAATCAGTTCTTTAGTTATCATTAGTATCAATTGTGTCAGACTCGTTTTTATGCTTTGCTCGTTTTGTTGCTCCTACCATGAATATCTTTAATCACCGCCTCATCAAGCGCTCTTCGAAGGCGAATTTCCACCGTTTCCATTTACCGACAGGCATTCACCCAGGTTGTCGTACATTTCATGATGAGGCTTGTACAACAGGTTGAGCCGGCGAAGCGGCTCGTCTCATACGTGACACCACCGACGATGCTTGTCTCTGCAAGATATTGCTACGATGCTCGCACATGTTGAGAAGGGAGAGAAAACTGGATAGGGTTTTTCCTCAAAAGCAGCGGCATTGACTGAGCCTTCGGAAAAGGAGTGGAGTCACGGCGTGATGCAGCCTCACTCGCCGCGCGCTGTAGCCCACTTTAGGAAGAATGGTTTGCTCGGGAAAAAATCTCACAGGTGGGTGACGTGACACGGCGACCGTGCAGCTGAAGATTGAGTAATGGTCCTAGCTGCGATCTCGCTTCGGTACTGATAAAGTTGCTTGCGCTTTGCTCACTTACGAACCTTTCAAGCAATAAAACTGAGTGAAATTATGATACTAACGCGCTGTTCTTGCGCACGATCGGAGGTTTTATAGACGGTAAAGGAATATTGTTGTTTTGTGAACGCTAAACACTCTATACATCGAATTCAGATCAGGTGTGTCACCCAAAATGACGTGGCGGCCGCCGCACTTGTGAGAATTTGCATGTAGAAATGATTAATAAGACGGTGAGATATGAACTGTAGGAGTGCTTCATTAGAACTGATTGCAACTACTGCATTATTCTTATGTTGTGAGTTTCCAATAGTAATCGAACACAAAATGTAGGAGGTGGGAGGCTAATTGCACAGTGGAATCGTTTAATAATGAATGCAGCTGCTGTTGAAGTACTGGCGACAGCACTGGCCTTTACCTGGGTGAACCAAGATGTTCACTATCGAACAAATATTCGGAAACATTTCTTGAAACCTGTCCGTATCTGCTGTAATAGCTATTCATATTGTGATAGTTAACATTGTATACCACTAAATTCTTTACATAAATCAAAATTCTTCATATAAGCTGTAAAAAATCTTTCGCTTGTTTCAAGTTTTGAGGGCGTTTACGTACACAAACACATTTCGTGCAAAGGAAATTGAAGAAAGGAGAGATACTCAGGAGTTTTTCATGTTCAAATTTCCCACTCAGCACCCTTGCGTGAACGGCTGTGGTTTTTGCGGAGTACGGTACACTCCGCCACGAATGCCTTGTATCGGAGCGTTCGCCACGGGGACCTTCCCCTCTTGACCGAAAAATCGCCATATTTTGTTCGTCACGGACCGCTGAGACGTCATTCAGCACACGCCGGATGCGCGGTTTTGCTGAGCTTTACCATAGAACTCCGCTATAAGAAGCCCTCCAGAAACAAAAGCGTCACGAACACAGGCGATCGGAATGCTAGGCCAAAATTGAACGGTATAACATTTCATATTGCGCCTAACAATGGTATCAGACAAACACGCGTCGCACAGCGTACTGTACCTACTGCGTTATCTCAAGCGCGTTATGTCTTATAGAATATGGAAAGGCGGTTTCACAGGAACATGGGAAGCTTTAAAGGCACAACCCAGGCAGAGGTCGTGTGAACGCTTCTCTTCGGTCAGAAGTATAGAACCCTAGGGGACAATCACAAATGTGGCGTTCACGTGTACGGAATTCGACCGACAAGAACGCTTGGGGCTTGCAAAGTAAGCTGCTCGAGCTGCAGCGAACGAGCTCTCTTATCAGGCCGTTGTCTGGTGCTCTCTCATCTGATGCGCTCTCTCGCTCCATACTCTCCTCTTCGCGCTTAGTCTCTCGTTCCTTTACAGCCAATTAGGAAGGTGAGTGAGCCCTCAACCTGAGCGTTTTCGACGGATTCTTTTCCTTTTTTCTTCTCTGCCGGCCCACTTGGCACCGATACATTCACATTCGTGTGCAAAAGCCACACCAGTGCGATCTTGGGGCATGCCTTTAACGTGATACCTCAACACTTCCTCTCATCTAACTTCAAACTAGCACCATCTCGCCATGTTCGCATGCCTGTCACGGCACGGTACGAATTCCACATTTGTTCAGTGAGCGCCATCAAGACTCAAGAAATTTTGCCGGTGATGTCACAGAATCTGTAACTATTGGGTGCATCTATAGTTTCTGAGGCACTTTACATTTACTGCCATGGAAATTTGTAGGAAAATCTCAAAGATGTCTTAGCTAACTTTTCCACAACTTCGTGGCAATAAACGTGCAACGCGACTCAGCATCGTGATTGACCAATCCGAAAAGCTGGACAGACAATGTGCTTGTTGCATTTTATGGCTTATATCCAATATTAACGACACCTCCTTCAACAGCTCACTTTTTCATGTCCAACATCGCCATGCTTGGTTTCCTATCGTTTAATCGATTGAAATGCAGTGGTCAGCTTCAACAATTTCGGAGTTCGGACTGTCAAAGTTCACGTTTTTGAAGTGAGGTCTTTCCGAGTTCTTGGGAGATAGATGAGAAATGTCGTGCACCAGCTACTAACCGCTGTCACAATGAGCGATTAAGACAGCTGTTAACAGCTTGATTGCAGTTCTTTCAAGAAGGAATCAAAACGGAACGAAGCTCACTTCTTCCCTGACACTGCTCAGCCACACTCGATATTCAGGAGTACACTCACTTTAGAGCCACTCTGACGAAATCTCTTTAGCACACTCTCAGAAACAAGTTTTAGGCAACAAACGTGCTCTCAAAATCGACACCCTCTCTTTCTACGACTAGGGACGGTAGTAAGGCGTCATAGAATGGATGTCGAAAGTGGTGGTCTTCGGCCATTCACGGCGAATAGTAAAAGCGACACCGCTGATCCTGCTCGGAACATTGGAATAACAATATCACCTTATGCTAGCAGAAGCTGCATCGCCCGTGGACTTGTGATGCAACGTCTCGAGAGCGTAACCTTTGCCACTGCACTACCAAGTACTTCCATGCGTCGAGGGACTTATGGAGTGGTAAGGTATTAACCTATGAGGGATGCAAAATCTCAGACATCACTAAGTGTTGATCCCATGATTGATCCAATGCCAACAAAGGGAACGAGCATGCTGCGCGATTAGTGTCTCCGTGCTGAGGGACGAACAGCTGATCACCTCATTGGCAGCTAAGTGCGAATATTATCGATAGCTACAGTGGCGCTCTCGCACCCGCACCTTCCACACCTATCACCGAAATTCCTTTGCCGTTGCTTCGCTTTCTAGGAATTCAATAGGCACGACAAGGGTCGCGCTGAGGGCCGCTCAAATGCACCCCTGAAGATACTTTGGTGATCATAACCGCGACCTCTACCTTTCTGGCAGCTTCATTGTCTTGCCTTTCCTCTGCCGAGTTCCCCGTCTATGGCCTCGATTTGATTACTGGCCATATAGGAGTGCGGCCTGGATCTCGCCCTCTATCTAAGACCAAGGTGGGATTCCCTTATTTTCCATCGGTTTCCATGAACTGACCAAAGCGAGGTCAACGTGACCTAAGCTAGCCGTTTAGGCCACTTTACTACCGCCCACAAGTCTATGGATTTTTGCAAGAGAGAGAGAGAATGTCTTCAGTGCAGTGACGATGCATTGTTTCGAAATTACAAACCAGATAACTGATGAAAAATTTCGAGACCAGAAACAGCTCGCATGCCAGACGCCTATAGAATATTCATAGTATCGCTAAGCTCAACCCAGTTTCTATTTTTTTTTACTTTATGCTGGTTGAGGTTTGGACAATCTCAATTGCTTTTCGATGACAATTTTTTCCTCAAATTTTCAAGATGTTCCTCATCCAAGGGCTCATCGGAAACATTTGCAGGCTTTTTGGTCTGGAAAGGACAACAACGACTGGAACTCCAAGTACTACGACGCAAGCTCCCACTACCACTTCGATGAGCACAACGATATCCGTAACCATACCAGCTAGAGACGGTTCGTTCCATGTAATGTCAGTTTCCGGAACTTTGAAAAAAGTTCGAGACCGAAAGGATTGCGGTATTGAGCCAAACTTTTCTTGAGCATAATAAAAAGAACTGTGTAGGGAGGCAGTCTTCACAAAGTCGCGGTCGGACTTTAATCAGCTTACTATCTCTCGCTGTTTGTATCGCAGCTTTTTGTCATTCGCGCGCGTTCGTTCCTTCGTTTAAAGCTGCTCGTTCGTGCGATGCGACGTTTATTTGCATATCCGACTAGGGCTAATACCATTCTCTCACCGGATCCATCAAATGAATGCTTTCCCTGGCCACGGTGCAGCTGAAATAGGATCAAGGTAGTGCATTGAGATCGGCTGGCAAATGCTGAGATAAGGAAAATGTGAAGGTGTTTTCATATTCAATATATCTAAAGGGTCAATTTGAAAGAAATCAGCTGAATTCGTGCATGATTTGTGAAACTTTTCGGGGTACACAGGTTTGAATAGTCGCGAAATTGTTCAGTATGCTCACCAAAGACACCAATCAAGGGCACTTCCCAGCACCTTGCTTTTGACCTTCTTTGAAAGGAAGTGCCACTGTACTATTCTTGATCGAGGTTGGGCGTCAGCTGGAAACAACCCTCATTCAGGGCGGAAAGTCATCCCTCAAAGTCCCCCACAGTGGTTGTGTCTCAAGACCTCGAAAAAGACTCCAAGGAAAGTTGATGTTCACCAATTCCACATCGGCGCCATACGCGTATACGTGCTCGCTTGCTCAAAATCAAAGTACCTACTGTGCTCATATGAAATGGGCTTCTTACAGTGTTCAAGCTACTCTACCCAAAACATACGCCGGTCATCCGAGCGTGCCTCACTCACTTTCTAAATTCGAAACCATCTCCTACCAGAGGTAAGGGAAGTGGTGTTTAGGGTCACCCTCGAAGCAGTAAACACTCCACGAAACCGCCAGCGCTGACCACTTGACGCTGTCTCTCCCGGCAACACCCTTTCCTATAGTGTTTGTTTATCTTATGCGGCGCACTTCTTCAACAACTACGCGATTTACTGCAGTCCATAGGAAATAAAAAAGAGGTCATCGCTCAAACTTTTACTATCGAGATTTTTGCGTTCATTCGAACCGAACCACAAAGTGTCAGTAGGTACTTAAGAAGTCTAGCACATCCATAGAAGGAGTATGGGATCGATAATGTAACTACTGCACATTCGAAGTCTCGTGCGCGTCCACACTGGAGGCTCAAAGCGGTTCTGCCGTTTATGCCTCCTTTATTTGGCCCAGATGAATGTAGAAGCGTCGCTGTCGAACGACAATAGCTAACTGTATCCTGGAAAGTCAGCTTTTACCTTGACGAAATTGTGATAGAGGGATGGACACTCATCGTGCTTGAGAATGTGTTGTCTCCCTGTCTATTTGATAGCCACTCGATAACCATTGTTCGCCTGTAGATACCTTGACCCTTGCTATCCATCACAGTCCCTTAACCTGTTAAGGACTGCCGTGAATGTCCAACTTTAATACATTTTTCTATTCAATACTGATAAGAAACCAAGGAGAAGTTGCGCTAAGTTGGTATGCAACCTTTTTTTTTATCATTCCAGCAGGATGCTACTGTTTCGACGGTACCATTATAAGGCTTGTCTGTCATTCGATGTGCACATCTAACATGGGTATCGGAAATGTTCTAATACCAATCAAATCTTGATATCACTCAGGGGCGATATTCTTCACTGAGAAACACTATCACACCTAGGATCTCACTTTTCTGACATCCACCAGCTACTGCAACGCAGAGCTGAGAATTTGCTCAAGGGCTGTATAACAGAGTAGAATTCACTTCCTCTACGCTCCGAGAGTGTGATAATGCGGCTCACGGTAGCGAGCTATGCAAATTTGGATAGAATATTTGAGTCTGGGCAAGGTGACGCCAAACCACGCGGGTGCGAGCTGCGCTTCACGGCTTCTGTGTTTGAGCAAGCTGCAGTCGTGCGATTAGCACTTCGCACCTACTTACGTAGCCGCCTCACACTGCAGATCGTGGGGACTGATGTAACAAGGGAAAAACAAGGTTCGAAAAACTCATACAATACAATATAACTCTCCGCTCGGGTGTATATAAAGGTATGGTGTATATAAATGTATATAAAGGTGTATAAAGTGGCGAAAATGACTACGAAAAAAAGATAGATCACTAAAAAAGGTGGGAAAACCTATGAAACGGTACGATTCATACGAGAAAAAAACCTTTTACAGTTCAGCGGAACCTTCTTTCAATCCAGCGTTAAGTGCCGTCGTTGTTTTAGTGTGTCCATTTGCTGCCGAGCCGTTGATGCTCGGCAAAGAATTCGCGTACTGTCGCCCTTCCTCCATCGGCGATTGCCCTGTTGGTTATCTGTGTGACCAGTCTTTTGTTCTGAGCAAATCAATCTGTTGCCGGGACAATCGCCTCAGACCAATGCCGAATCGTCCTGTCGTGGGTATGTTTATCGATATTACCTGTATTGAAATTCGTTCAATACTGGACAAAATATGGAAGCCTTGTTACAGTTGGATCGAGCTCAGCTCGACCGCCATTCAGTTGGAACACGATCACACCCACAGTATCACCGAAATGGAACGCTCTTACCACTGCAAAAAAGACTCCGTGGTATATAAAAGATCGGTAGGTTTCTATGGTTGAAAAAACACCTGAATGATTCGTTCTCATCTGCTGCTCTCCGAGAGGTATCAGCTCAGGCTCATGAGAACCTAAGGGAGCGAATTAACTCAGTACTTCTTCAATGCATGTAATGAACTGTCACTGTGATCCATTTAGGACAACTTGGCCAAGCGTGTACAATAGAATGACACCAGAGACGACAGTCTCAACCACTGAGGAGACTTTACCGACCATAACACAAGTGCCGCTCGCCACTACCACAATGAGCACGTGGGTACCAGAATCTATTGTTGTTCTTTGAAGGCATAATCGAGAAATGCGGAAATTTTGGTGCCACAACTGCGTTCGTCTATCACTTTATCCATGTGTTCAAAGCACGCTATGTCTAGCACATTTCGTCCCACAAAAAGGACGTCTTCGATATTAGAGTTTCAACGACCTATTTTCCATTTTCTTCTGAAGATCCATTACTTCTCTACGTGCAGTTTCGAGCATACGAGATTTTCCCGTGTTCGTGGAAAGTGTTTTATAGCTCTAATCCTTCTATGACAGCCTGGCTAATGTAGCACCAGAAACGGCGTTGCAAAAAAAGAATCATGAAGTCTCATGAATTCAGCACTACAACAACGCCGGCACCAAGCACCACCGCAAAACCATCGAATCCCTGGGCAAGGGTATGGACAACAACTAGGACACCGCATAATGCTGTGTCCGTTAGCGTCCTACAAGCTGGGAGTATTCGAACACTTCGTGTGAGTTGCGCAGCATAGTTCAGATGTTTTGGCGATAAAGTGGTTTCTTATAGGACGGTCAGTCTGAAGCTGTGGGCGCCATAACGCTCATCAACGATAATGGATTTTATGTGCTTGTCAACACAGGCGCATCAAGTGACACTGAACGACTGCTTCACGGTGAGTTGCTTCCGTGAACAAACACCAGTGTGTGCTACCGTGTTTAATTCATAAGTACTATAAAGTAAGTAAGTGTGTAAATTTGTACCGTTGCATCACTTCGGGTATATTCTATATGAAAAGCCATTCGAAAGGATTTCCATATGATGAACCCGTAGCTGAGATCTTGAGGAGTCGGTCACGGAAAACTCAAGGTTCCACCTCATCCATGAGCATTGGATCCACCATCCATGCTAAACCGCAAAGCACAAGTCGATTGCTTTTTTTCGAAAATTTGTATCGAATTGTGTTTCTTGAACAATTCGAAAGAAGGACTGTTGCACGTCTGAATTCCTAACGTAAATCTTTCACAAACGTTGGCGACAAGAACGATTTCATTTGGTTCTCAGAGTTCCTTCACTGAGCCCCTTTTCTAATGCTCCCTATTCTATCGATCGTTTTTTTTATTTCCAAACGGTTGGACCCGATTTTCCAATGAGTCCCCTGATACGTGGCCGCCCCGAGGAGTACTTCGTCAAATGTGTTCCTTGTTTGCGCCCGAAATACCTTCGGTTGTTCGTAAAGTGTGGTTACAACAGTTTTGTTTCTTTCGGAAGCAGGATCAACCCTATGTTGCTACAAGTAGCAACGGGGGGTCATTGTGGTGAGTTTGTAGGGGGGTCGTACCTGCTTAGGTTGTAAGAAGTGGCATGTGATGAGAGGGGAGCGGCGCAGGAGAAAACCCGTGTCAGCGATTTTTGCGATTTTGAGGGAAGTATATACCCCTGCTCGACGGTATTTTTTTGGGGTAAAAATTGGTCGGAAAGGGGGGGGGGTCGTAGGAAACTTTTTCTGAAGGAGGGGGGTCGTACAAACTTTTCGAAAAGTAGCAACGATAGGACTGACCCTGTTCGGAAGCTCCATCTTCTTGTGAGAAACTTCGTACACCCTCTTTAGTGATCATTTCTTTAGTGACTAATACTCATGCTGTGAAAGAAAGCAGAAATTTTCCGGGGACGATTTCCCCCCACGGTTGCCGCGATATCTAGGTGGTGCAAAGTCCTCATGCACATACTGATAACTTACTCAAAGGCAGGCAATGTTTAGGCGCGCTTACCTCTTCCATCCCCGGGGGCAGCAGACAGGCGGACAAGCAGTGATGTCGCGCTCCTTTTGTGGCTTAGAAGTGCGCAAAGAGGGCGCTAGAAGCTCGTGCGTCCCGCATATCACACCTTTGTCCGCAAGCACCGCCTTCCGTCTGTTGCCCCGTGACGCTGCTTGGAAAATACGAGCAGAAAAGAGTACTTGAGGCAGCGGTTGCCATGCGGCGCAATGTCATTGGCACTGGAGCAGCTGCAGCTAGTTTCTCGAAACTCGCGAAACGCCCCTTCTTTGTCCTTGAGCAGACTGCGGCTGAAAGAGAAGAGGTTCCTATTCAGGGCGTGATCCGTGGTTTCCTTTGCTTTCTTCTCCTTTTTCAGACACCTCCCACCTCTAAGTTCATGACGGAACTTTTCTACACCCATTTTATCCCGAAGCTTGCCTTCAAGCAGGGTCAACCGGCCATCGCGAAAAACAACGAGGGGCTATTTGGTCAACGGAAGTGGATTTTAAGGTTGTAACATCAAGGTTCATTCACAGAAGTTGAAGATGCCAAGGCATGGCTAAGTGGTGAAGGAGGACCGAAATAAAATTCTAAATATCACTGCGACCACGCACCACAGACGATTGAATGGCGCATCCCAGAGCGAGCGTCTTACTGAAATGCGTTATGCCCCAGTCAGCACAAGCAAAAATTCTCTTAGAGAAACACCTATGCTTTTGAATCAAATCAAAATGTGCGGCGAATTTGGCGGAGTGATCTCTATGTAGCGTCCTAACAGAAAATTGTGGCAGGAGAAAGTTTTCCTTTCGAGATAACCTAGCATATACTAAAAAGTGCTGTTTTTGTTTATTTCAAATGTTTTACTGGTTTCAGTGTATGGACTTTGAAGAAGACCATTTGAAGGATGAAAGCTCTCGTTTTAGGAGAATGACCCAGAAAAGCCATAGAGGGAAATGACGGAATAGCGAGACGATTTTTCAGAAGAGTGGTCATTCATAGAAATTTAAATATGTTTTTGAAAACGTCAGCATTCTAACTTCTGAACAGCCTTAGAGATCTGCAAAAAATTTAATAAGGAAGGAACTTATGAACGTTCGAATAACGAAAACTCGTGCGCTCGAAAATCGGACCACAAGCCCCTGAAAAACGGAACAGCGGATCTGTTTTTCGAGGAGGTCTTTGGTATCTTTTCTGAAGCGCGCTTCTAGTTTTCAATTAGTCTTAGAGATCTGGAAAAAGTTAAGAGTGAAGGAAGTTATGAACGTTTGAATCATGAAAATTTGCGTGTGCACAAAAAAAGGAACAACGGGAGGATTTTTTGACGAACTCAATAATTGCATCAGTTAAATAACCTTCGGAAACGTGATTTAACTTAGGTCCTTCTTGATTACGTCCCTCCCCCTCTTGTTTGGGGCTCCTCTCGGCCTCATGCCTTGCGCTTAATGCTATCGCATTCCTTATTAGGTGGCTTTGTGGTCTTCTGAGCACATCTCCATACCATCGCAAACGCTGTTCCCTTACTTTCTGCTGGACAGGGGCAGTCTGCATTACCGCTCTGACATCATCCTTTTTGTCCTTTCGCGTCCAACCGCAGGCCCATCCCAGCATCCTCAGTTCAGCGTAGTGAATCTGCCTTTTATGACTCTTGTTCGGGACAACATTCGCTGCCATCTAGCATCGCGGGCCTCACCACCATTAGATACACGTGCTCATTGAGCGTTATGGAATACCTTCGATTCCAGAGGATCCCAGTAGTCTCCTTGCATTTCATCCAGGCAGCATTGATCCCCTTTGCTGCGTGGCTCACACTGCTGTCGGTGGCTAGATCACTCCCGAGGGGGAAGTCCTTCACCCTTCTGACTGCCTCACCATGGTCGTCTACAATCGAATCTGTACCCTCTTCAGAGCTCTGGAACTTGGTCTTGTTGACACTTAGCCGTAGTCCACCTCTGCCATTTCTGCACCTTGGCTCAAAGTTCTTCTTTGCTATCTGCTATCGGCGATGTCGTCAACGTAGACGATGGTCTTCAGTTCCATGGGCCTTTAACATGTAGTAGAAGAAGGAATGGGCTCGGAGCTGATCCTTGGTGCACTCTGACGTCTACGTCCTTCGTTAGGTCGTAGAGGGTGCGTATGCGCCCTTAGACTCATCGTACATGTCATTCACCAGAGAGACCAGGTGTTCTGGCCCGTTCCATTCCCTGAGCGATTCCCATAGTACTGTTCGCGATAGTCGGTCGAACTCCTTTTCCAGGTCGAGGAAGGCTAGGTAGCAGGGTCGGCGCTTACTTAGCGATAACTTCTCCATCACTTGCCTAGCGATGAAGATCGCTCTGTTGTAGAGCATTTGAGCACGAACCCAACCCGAACTGGTCTTGGTTATCGGAATCAACTCACGCAATTTTGAGTGCACCATTCGCTCAAACCACCTCGCAGTCAACTTGACCCCGTGGTAGTTGAAGCAATCCCTCGCGTTATTCTTCTGTCTGGAGGCAGAGACCAGGGTCAAGCGAACCGTCGAGGATTCGGAAATACGACCCCCCCCCCCGCCCTCCCTCAGAGCGTCCGATCTGGCAGCCGAGACCACGTTGAGCGTGGCTAGTCGTCCGATCTGGCAAGTTGGACCTGCAAATCCATGAAGCGACCCTTTTCACGAACTATGAGAAGGTTGTTTAATTCCCTCCCAGAACTGTTCATAAAACTGTTTTTCGGTGGAGGGTGGGGTAGCCTTACTACCTTATCCTCATCAAAACAGTCGTTCAAGAAGTAGAAAAGCAGGAAAATTCGAACAATGATCATTATTGATGAGTCTACCAAACGGGCAAACAAGAACAAGAGCAAAAAACGGCAAACTAGTCACTAAAATGGCCTAGTACAACAACATCTCTTTTTTATTTACTTCCTTCGGAGGACTGCCCAAATTTAAGTACTACACAGGGTATGCTCCCAATCTACGCGTCCCCCTTTCGGTTTAAAGAAGCCTTGTAATCGCCTCAGCCAGCTGGGTGTTGATTGATCTTTTGCGTTGTCCTAGGACTTATCTATCTGCATCTGCAAATTATCTACTATTGAAGTTTGAACACATATTCAAAGATTATAAGTCTCTTCATATATGACAAATTCCCGATCTGAAAGCAGACTTGAAATCTTTGTAAAGAGCTCCTTCCAAGCAGTGATGTATTATAGTTACAGAAATTTATAAGAAATAACAAATTTAGATTGATCAACAAGGAAAATTCATGACGAGCGCGAGCTTTCACGCTTTCCGGAGCCATAACTTCTTTCACTTCCATCAAATCTGAAAAGTTAACATGGCATCGTAAACTAGATGATTTTCTCTCTCTTTCTAAAGCAACTCTTCACGTCCAGTATCAAAAAAAAAATAGTCACGTTGAGGACTTTTGCAAAAATAGCGAGAAAAGTTCATGATGAGTGCGAGTTTTTACGCTTTTCAATGCCGTAACTCCGTTCAAACTCATCCAATCTGAAAAGTTATTATGTCATCATGAGCTAGAGGACTTGCTCTATTCGAAGGTAGAAGTGCTGAGTACGTCCGGTAATAAAAAATGGTCACGCTGGAAATTTTTGCCCGAGTACTGCCGAAAGGTGCCTTCGCTGCGTAGGCGCTATTTTAGTGAACACAGCTTCTTTAAGAGGCGATTGCATACTAAGCTAGGAGCAAATTCGGAATCCTCGTTTTTTCTGTCCACTAGAAGAGTAAAATTGTTCGGCGCATCCCAACCTTAAAGTTTACACGCTTATGAATTTGACGCTGAAGGCTGCATTTCTTGTTCAAAAGTGGAATCCTCCCTGTAATTGCGCACGGACACTTCCAGAGTCCTCTTGATTTACCTCAATTGAGATCCTTTCTAGAGAGAAGTAGCTGATGCGCGCGCAACTGAGTGGGCCCACTCTGGGATGCGCCGTGTGCTC